ATTATTATTATTATTATTATTATTATTATTATTATTATTATTATTATTATTATTACTGTTATTGATATACAACAAGAAAAATTTGTAAAATTACTATAAGAAAATACAAAAAAAACAAAAATTTGATTGATCATTTTTTTCAAAGAGATAAGAGGTAAGAGATTCCTTTGACAAAAATTGCTTGAAATAAATTTTCTAACTGTATAATTTGTCATCCTAATTTGTAATCCTTTCACACATTAAACAGTTAATCGAGCTTGCTTCTAAACATGTTTCATACACGTTAACCGTTTCATTGATAAGTCGCACAATGTTTTTACATGTGTAGCAGCCTTTCGATTCGGGAGTAGCAGATACACAAGTGATCGGATTTGTCACGGGAGATTCACTATCGGTGGCCGTCAGTGCCGTGCGTGGTGGTGCACGCGGTTCATTAATCTGTGATCGCAATTAATTTCGAAGAATGTGACCTTTCGCTGCTCGATTTCTCATTCTCCGATATTATCGCACGACGACTTGTACATACGTCGTCGTATTTTTGGATACGATCGGCGGGTCGCGTCTAGGCGGATACAGGATTCGATTACGAGGTGAGGCACTCAGCGAAGCAAGATTACATTTCGCGATATGACGCGTGCGTGACGAGAAGATCGTCCGCATCTGTTCTCGTGAAGGTCGTCCGGGCTTGAAGCTGTCTTACCGAGACAGATGGCCGTGGTGCCAAGGCCGTTCCCCGTGCCATGTTCTTTGACCCTTTCTAAATCCTTGACAATCGATAGGGAAGCATGCGTATGCACTGGTTCGTGAATCCCGCGTCGAACAACTCGGCGCGCAAACGGCTACCCTCGAAGGCTACGATCGGAGGCGACCTGGATCTGGAAAGGGGGTAGTGAGGTTAGGAGGCTGCGGTCAGCCATGAAGAGCCCGGCGACATCCCAGCGCTTGAACGGGACCAGCGCGCATCCTGTCCCGTCGTCGAGCCTACAGACGTCAGGTAGCGCCAAGTCCCGTCACAGCAATACCGTCAACAGCTTTCAGGTGATGAAAGTCGCTGGACGCGAGTCCGGCTGCTACATCGCCAGCAACATCGCGCCGAAGATCGGCAAGCAGCAGTTGGTTTCCTTGAATGGGGACACAGTACGTTGCGACAGTGTCAACGTCGACGAGGCACTGGCATGCGACGTGGCACCCATACCGGCAGCGAAGACTAAAGCTCTGTGCGTGCACATACGGGAGAATAAATGGTACGACGCCGGTAATGTGATCTCGGTCGGAGTAGCGGGAACCAGCCTGAATCATGCCTTGGAAAGTATGTCCTTGGCTTACAATCCTTCCACGAAACAATTGTATTCTATGGAGGAGACCAGAGCGCCTGGCAGTGCACAAATCGATTGTACTTCTCAATACCTGGAGTCTCCATGTGCCGATAAGGAACAAACATCGAACGTGAAACTTGACATGGACAAATATATGAAGCTCGAGAATGTCAGTGCGAACAGCAGTCCAAGGAACAGCCTGCCACGATCGTGCAGTAGCACAGTGTCTTCCCTTAGCGAGATATCACCTTCAGGTAGCTTTCTAGGGTCTGACGAGCAACACGTTGTAGAAAAGAGTGACAAGGCACTCAAACGTTGGGGTTTGAATACGCTTTTTACAAAGAATGTGTTTTCCTGGAAGAATAAGGGGTCCCAACAGTCAACGCCTACTGGTAGTCCATCGAGAACTATCGACAAAGTAGGTGGTAGCACAGCTTTAATTCAGCAGCCGCGACCAGCGAATTTACCAGCTAAGAATGCGCTCGAGGAAGAACGCCATCGTAAGCAATATAATGCTATTTTAGAAGCAGCAAGGAAGAGAGAATTGCGCGAAGAAAAAGAGCGTAAACAGCAACGAGAGTATCAACTTAAAGAAGAAAAGAGATTAGCCGAGGATTCCAATATGTGGAATACACATGTTTTACCCAAGTTTGAAAGTGTTAAGAATACGAAAAAAGTAAGGGAGCTGTGGTGGCGCGGCTTGCCACCAAGTGTCCGTGGTAGAGTTTGGAAATTAGCGATTCCGAATAATCTGAGTATAACACCGCATCTCTATAATCTTTGCTTAGATAGGGCAATGTCGTGCCCTAATAATGAGTCATTAGCTGCTATCAGATTAGACGTATCTCGTACCTTTCCTACCTTATGTGTCTTTCAAGAGGGTGGACCATTATTCGATAGCCTTCAGGGTATCTTGGCAGCATATGCCGTATACAGACCGGACGTAGGCTATGTGCAAGGTATGAGCTTTGTGGGTGCTGTATTGTCATTAAACATGGAACCAGCGGACGCCTTTGCTTGCTTTGCGAATCTGTTAAATCATCCTTGTCACAGGGCCGCCTTTACATTGGACCAAAAGAGAATGAATACTTATTATAAAGTATATTCCAGTGCTCTTGCGCATAAGCTGCCAAAAGTCTTTTCCCACTTTACCGTAGCTGGATTAAGTCCAGACCTGTATCTATTAGATTGGTTGTATACTATATATGCCAAAGCAATGCCTCTTGATGTCGCATGTAGAGTCTGGGATGTCTTTCTCAGAGACGGAGATGAGTTCCTTTTCAGAACAGCGTTAGGAGTGTTGCACTTGTATCAGGAAGAGTTATTGAAAATGGACTTTGTACATGGCGCACAGTTTCTTACTAGATTACCAGAAAATTTACAAGCCGAATCTTTATTCAACAGTATTAGCCAGATGTCTACTACTGTTGGGACAACAACGTTTCAGCAAATGCTGGTTCAATTTTCTTCGTAATTTAGTATATTAACAAATTTAGCAAAATTGAAATTTTCTTATTGTGATCAAAACATCTGAATCTTTGTGCAAACAAATTTCATACTTTATTGTCATTTGGAGTTAAAAATTTAGCAACCTGTCTGAAATTTTCGTATTTGATTAAAATATAATATTTATTTGTAAATAATTTATGTTAAGCGTTTCAGAGGCAGTATACAAAAATATTGTCTCTATCTCTGTCTTTTAGAAATATTCAAATCTTTTGTTTTACAATTGATATGAATATATAAAGAACAGACATTAACAAAATTGCACAATAGATTAGAGATAATTTTCAAAAATTTATAACAAAAATATATTTTTGTTATGAATTTCTGAAAATTGTATATAAACGAATATATTTGTTATGGAAATGACATTTTCCATGTAAATAATTGACTGTTTTATTCAGTTGTAAATATGTGTTCTACAACGAGAAAAGTTGAAAAAATAATTTGCAATATAAAACTTAAATGCTCTATTAATAGATTTATACTCACTTTACATTCTCGTTTAATACTTTTGGAAAAGCGATAAATTTTAGATTTATGATATTTCGAAAGCACCCTTCAAAAAGCAAACCAGAGAATATTATTAAAATTTTAATTTATTTTTGATCATATTTATATTAACTCATTTTTATTTTAATCTTTATCAATGTTTATTATACATATTTGTGACAATTTCTCATAATTTGTAATATTTAAATATAATATCTGAAATATCAGTCTTGCTTCACATACCGATATATACGTTACAATATATGCACTATTGCATTTCAGCTTTGAGCTATATTGAGCTATTCTTTAAATATCCCTTTGATTTTTACACTCTCTTCAAGAGAGTGAAGGGAGATTCATACTCGAATACAACAATATTATTGAATTATAATGCAGATATTATTCTCATAAATATACATTGTAATACAGATATAGAATACAGATACGCCGAAATTAAAGAAACGTTTCTTGCTGCAAATTATTTAACTGTTATTTATAATTTCTGTACAATTTCTGTACCGTTGGTAATCCTCACGCTATGTCACGATAAATATCCGACTTGAAATTACATACCAGAAAATATTTCGTCCAAAAATTTTAATCAGTATTAATTTGTATATAAAAAACGAAGCTAAATAATGCAATTATACATGTAATATACAATTAAACTAAAGATTTATAAGATATTTTATAATTTAAAGATGTTATATCTATTGTTAAGAATCTAAATTAACACTGCATCTTCTTTCTCAACTATAATTACAATTTTGCAGTTAAAGTTCTTCCCACTATATAACATAAGTCAATGCTGTTTGCATTATTTCGCTTCGTTATTTTTATTCTTTGGTATTTTCGTGGATCAGGTGCTGAATATGAGATTATTACAGTGAAGCGTGTGATAAAAAGTTTACAGTACTGTATAATAGAAGTTTTACTAATTTACACATTTTAAATTAGCATTTAGATGATTTTTTTTTTTCTGTCGGCCATGGATATGGCAATTTGTTCAGTTTCAAATAGCGAAATCTTATCATGTCCCGTCTTTTGAGTGGCCTTCATAATGAAGATAAGATAAATTCAAGATTTAAGGATGTACGAACTATGCAATTATTGAATCTTATTCTCTCAGAGGAGGAGTAATCTCAAAAATGTATTTTCATACAATATAACTGCAATATATGCTTACTGTGTGCGCTTGTCATGTACCGCCCCGTTTAAGACGGGCGTAGAACGAAAAGATTTTAGGTCTTAACATCTCGAATAGATATGACATCGTCGTTCGATCAGAAATTTGCTATCTACGGTATTATAGAATGACAGTCACGTTGGCATTGGCTTCACATACAGCATAGCTTGGGAGCTTGAAAATTATACGAAAGACATAGATTATCGCCATTTACCGATATTATATTCAAATACATATGTATATATATATATATATATATATATATATATATATATATATATATATATATATATATATCTCTCTCTTTTATATAACATGAACAAGTTTTTAGAACAGAATGTGACAGAACTGCGAGTATCTGTGGAAGCACTAGTCGTTGAGACAAACGATATAACATAACTGTCGCAACTTGTCAGATTCTTATTTCTTTTAACGAGATTATCTACAGTAACAGCATATTGCGACGTTTTGGTTATATACCCATGTTTATACCCTGTGCGTTTTTACATAATATTACATGATAATTTGAGTGATCAGTGTGTAACCGTTGAATGTGCTTCTCGATGACATTATATACGTTATATATGTTTTATAGGAAATATGTGATTCTCATGGATCAAGATATGAAGCCGTGGGCCGTGTAAGTGGAACTCACAAGTATAATATATATCCTAGTTTTTAATCGACAATACTCTCATTCCATCCATTATTCCAAACTACTACTTAGCGTTCATGAACAATACATAACGAATAAGTTTATAGGGATATATAAAGGGAGCACAAATGAATAAGACGTAACTAGAATAGAATGAATTAAGTTATTTTGAAACGAAATTTGTATCCACGTGTGTGGAGGATGTGCGAACTATATATATTAATGATTATTGAACTTTATTCTCAAATCTTTAACAGTGACAGTCTTTAATAGTAACGCTTTTGCACTAAGATGAGACAAATTATTTTTTTCTTATTTTATCAAATCATATTTTATAACTTATTAATCCAATACATTAATGGCAATAAGATATTAATAATTTAATGCTCACGCACTATTAAAATGAACTGAGATTTTTAATTTAACCTCCTGTACAACGTGTTGATATTAATCTTTTACTGATTTTTTTTTTATCAATATTTCTATATATTGAACAATTAAATATTTGGAAATGCAATTTGAATATATATATATATATATTCTGTTATATATATTTTTATTGGCTTGTATATTTTTTAATTTTTTATATGGATAAAATGTTATAAAGAAATATTAGTTAACAATTCTAATATTGCAAATTTTAACTTTTCTGATCAATAATTTTTTGTTGAAATAATTTCGCTCGTGTTTGTGCTATGTAACATGTCTTGATTAAATTTATATAAATTACATCCGTATGCATATCTTCTTGAAGGTAAATTTTATGAGATAATTGATGACGATGTGCCAACCAATGTATCATGGTTGTAAAAAACAGTATATGAGAAGACTGTTTATAAATGTCTCCGTGCTATAAGCGCAAATTGATTATCAAGTTTTTTAGTAATTATCGGTTATGCTGTTGGTTAATCTAATGAATGATCAATAGTTATCTAATTTTTTAGCGATGATAGTAATATAATCGATGTAAACGAACAACAGAATGCGACTGTTTGATTATATCCGATGAAATGAAGGATCTTCTAATTTATTTGCCTTACCGATTTAACAATCACATTGTCACTATGGATGCGAGTTACTACAAACAGAAATGTATGTATGTGTAATTGGATGTAAACGTGACGTATGCTTGTACATATATTGATTGCATTATAATACTTGTAGGTATATCTACGTTCTTACAAAAATAATATATATATATATATATATATATATAGGAAATACTATTTAAATACGCGACTGTTGTTCTTTTTGATCACAATAATATTAAAAAGGTGATTTATTGTCTTTAAATTTACACAAGACAGCCTCCCACATAAATGATAGATTTACTCAATTATTACATTTCCTTTTGAGATATAGCCGAATATACTGAAACACACATTAATACCACACATATAAATAATAAGAAACGTAATCTTGTGGATATACCTACGTGTATACAGTTTGAAATTTCCTCTAAGATTGAAGACACGATGCCTAAAAAGACATGATAAAATTGTGAAAATGCTAACGTTAATAATCTGTGCACAAAACAACCATGCATCATGCACTACGTAACACTTCTGTGTTCCTTGTCGTTAGTGCCTCGATAGAGGAACTCATTGTATATTTTATACGCGTTTTATCGTGTGTATATTTACCTTAAGTGCAATATTGTAATATATATTTTTTAAAGAATCGATCCCAATATTTATTTTGTCAGATCTACGTAGATCGGTAAAAGAACTATGTAAAATATACATAGAGACGTTAGCGAATTAGAAGAGAAAAAAAAAAAAACAAAGGGAAAAAGAAAAATCTTCATATTTTTTAATACGAAATTTGAAGGAACTCGTTTTCGCTGGAAAGCTGAAAAGAGATCGTAAAGTAGCTAGTTTTGCGTTCCCAGGATACCGTGGTACGATTTCGATTTAAAATGTGATGCACAGCCACATCTCTAATGCTTCTTTAGGAGGGATCTCGCGGTAAGAACTGTTATGTACATAACCATACGTTTGCTTCCTAATTTAATCGAAACGTAAAGATTAACGATATCTACCGCAATAGCGTAACGATCATTTTTATATTACATTGTAATGGACCGTGAACGAAATCGAAGGCATACTAAATGCGCGCATGAGAAATATTGTAAATGACGTCGGCAACATATCTCTGACTTTTTTTTCCTATATGAATAAAGACTATGCTCTAATGACATCGAAACCTATGAATTTTCTTTTTCATTTGTTCAGCCCAGATACAAGCCGCTTTTGCTTCACGGCGTTATGTATTGAATTCCGAAATTTTGTCTGACGTTTCGTACGATGTGTGTGAAACTGGCGTCTCATTTCGCGAAAACTTACAAATTTTAAAAAAATATGGGATGCTGATCGAAATGTCTGATTTAACAAATATACTTTTCGTGTAGTCGTGAACGTAAAATATTATAGCATTTTCTAAAGAGTTTCGGGCACTGGTAATGACGTACGATTTTTAAATAAATAGCGTTTCGGCCTCACATACTTGGGTAGAGGAATATGAGACGCTGCTCGAAATCTCGGAATTCTGATTTAACAAATATACTTTTCGTATAGTCTTGAATATATTAAAGCATTTGCTAAAGAATTCCAGGCACTGGCGATGATGTATGATGTATTTATTTTAAATAAATAAGTATTGCCTGAGCGTCATGTACTTGGACAGAAATGTATAAGACGAGTGTTCGGAACTCTGTAGAAGATGCTTTAATATGTTCAGAATTACACGAAAAGTATATTTGTTAAATCGAATATTAATCA